AAAAAAAAAAAAAAAAAAACTGTAAGAGTTCATTGAGGATTATTAAAGTTTGGCCAACGTGCAATTGTTGGTCCATCTATTCCGGGAGAAATTCAAAAATAGCCAGATTTACAACTGGTCGTTCAAAAATAGCCCAGTTTCAAAAGTAATCGAGATTTAGCCATTTTTCATAAAAAGATAAATCTGAGCGAAAACACTGTTCAAAACCCGAAAAATACACTAGTATATTATACTGGAGTTCCAGCATAAGTATGCTTGAACTCCAGCATATTATACTGGAGTTCCAAGATAAGTATGCTGGAACTCCAGCATAATATGATGGAGTTCTAGCATAAGTACACTAGAACTCCAGCATAATATACTGGAGTTCCAGCAAGTATAATTGTCAAGTATAATATACTGGAGTTTGGAGCACCGGTGCTCCAGTCTCCAGTATATTATACTGGAGTCAGCAAAGTATATCGGTCCAGCATAATATGCTGGAGTTCATACACAAGTGCACTGAACTCCAGTATATTATGCTGGACCGGTCTCTGTTGCAGCAAAATAGTGGCTATTTTTCATTGACTTTGTAAACGCTGGCTATTTTTGAATGACCAGTCCGAAAACTGACTATATCGTGCTATTTTTACATCTATTCCTGCTTCTTTAGTGGAGGTGATTCTTACGTCATCAAGTAGCGTCATGCATTGTACGGGCCCATACTGAACCAATATAGTAAAAATGATATCAAATACTCACTTTTAAGCATATTGTTTAAAATATTTTTATAATTTAGAATGTATTTAAAAATTATACAATTTCGTGCAAATTTCAGGATATTTAGTACTGGAGTTTGAGTGAATTTGCTCATTTTTAAATATATTATAAATAATAGATATATTTTAAATAGCGGGCTTAAAAGTGACTAATGTTGCACTTCTTCCTCCAATATATCCATTTGGGATTGTTACCCAAATAGCCCAGCCAAGCCCAAGTCGAACCACTTATAGGCCCAACCATGTATTCTTAGACATCTTAGAATGGTTATCAAAAGACAAAATCTGACCAGGTCAATATTCACTGCCAGTTTGCACTCCTACTGGATGTCATTTGTTAAGCAATTAACCATTTTTTGTTGCATCTTCTACTCGCTTTTTACTTTTTCTGAGCCATTCGTTATTTATTATTGCCCCATTGACCAAAAAGTTGTTTGATTAATCAAAGGAAAAGGAGACATGATATGTTGGTGATAATTGATTTTCTTATTTCCACCCATTGACTAGTTTTTTCACTATGTATAAGAAGGAAGATACGTATTTGATATATAAACATATAGGTGTATATATAGTACCCCAAACGCTAGGTATATATGTTAGGAATTTGGGCTTACGTTAATTGATTATAGTCTGAAAGGATAGTGACGTGGCTCAAGTGGTGGATAGATAAAAGGCCTAATATTAAATATTGTGTATATGAATAAGTGAAGCTCAATAACTACTGGCATGTGATGGGCATGCACTCTTTATAAATAGAGGCCAACCCCCATTTCCCTAGCTATTAGAAAATCCTAGTGTATTCTGCCTCTTGAATATGTAGTAACAGTAGATGTCCCACCAGTCAAGTTCACCGGGCTGTGAGAGCGCGTAGTGAGTGGATCGTGGAAGTTGGTCTCAGGCTTAATTGTCGTTTGTTGTCACTGCTGAATCCATGGAATTTAACAGTACGCTTCCTTAGGCTCTAACTCAATTATGATTTTATATCTGTACGATTGTGTCTTAATCTCTGCTATGGCTGCGAATTAGTAATCTAACAGTTGGTATCAGAGCAATCATAGTTTGGGATTAAGATCGATGAATTATATTGGGTTATATATATATATACATATATATATATACATATATATATATATATATATATATATATATATATATATATATATATATATATATATATATCATCATCATCATCATCATCAGTCAAGTTCTCTGGGCTGTGAGAGCGTGTAGCGAGTGGATCGTGGAAGTTGGTTTCAGGTTTAATTGTCGTTTGATGTCGCTGCTGAATCCATGGAATTTAACAATACGCTTCCTTAGACTCTAACTCAATTATGATTTTATATCTGTACGATTGTGTCTTAATCTCTGCTATGGCTGCGAATTAGTAATCTAACAGTTGGTATCAGAGCAATCATAGTTTGGGATTAAGATCGATGAATTATATTGGGTTATATATATATATAAACCGTGGTACAACGTAACAAAAAATTATTTTACGGTTGTTTTGGTTAAAGAAATTGATGTCAGTGGCGTCGAAGGAGTACAACGTTGCCTGATGAAATAATTTTAGATTTCACTATTTGAAATTGTATGCATGACGGCGGTGATGCTAATGAGGCTTTTATTGAAGCATTGCTTTAACGTAATACTATTAAAGATGGACTTATATTTATCCTTTAATTATAAATAGTTGTCCCCTTTATTATGTGGAATCCTTAACTCACAAATCTATGCATAATTATAAAATTTTTAAGTTAATACCACTTTAAGGAAAAAACAAAATGTGGAGTGCTTAGTCTGAATTAATCTAATGTGTTTATGAGATTCCTCAATTTCCATTTATTAGTTGATCAAATACTTTGGTTTGTGTTTGATAATTATAATGGTTCTGCTTGTTTGTTAGCATATTATAATATATTTTAATACAATAAACTATTGTTGAGACCTATTTAATATTAGTTAGAGAGTGGAATAAATTAATATTCAAAAGGTTTAAATGAATTGGCTTAATTTATTTCACATGTGTATGGTATTGTCTAAATAGGAATTTATGATTAATAAATAATTTCCATCAAAGTAGTCTATTTATTTGGAGTCATTGAAAATTCTTAAAACTTTATACATGTGAAAAATATCATGGATTGAGATCTATGATTAATAAATAGTTTCCATCAAAGTAGTTTGTTTATTTGAGTCATTGTAATATTCTCAATTCACCATGTCTAAATTGTCCTTGATAAGTGTACACTAGTGTTGGAGGTTTTTCTTTTGATACTAGTGACGCTAAATTAATTGACGAGGATAGACATTGTGTTTTCCACCTAAAGGGCGAACATAATATCTTGAACTTTTTTGTGTATAAAAGAGGACATTTTGTTATAACAGGAGGTTTTGTATCTGTTACCTAAATGAAGGATATAATGTATGCTTTGTACTGTTTGATGATGTGGGGAGGAGGTTTTGTATCTCTTGCCTAAAAGCGAGGGTGCAATGAATGCCTTGGACTCCTTGGTCCTTAATAGGGAGACAGTTGTATCTTCCACCCAAAGGGAGGGGTGCAATAGATGTTTTTGACTCTTTTAATTTATGTGTTCATGCCCATACTTTTATCTAATTTTTGTGTTGTCTGCTTATACAACTATTAACAACATGACTACTCAGTTGAATTTCATTGAAACTCTAACTAGTAGCAACTAAAGTGAAAACATGATGTTGAAATAATGTTACAACTACTAGCACTGCTGATGAAAAGGCTAAGTATGAGAAGTGGATGAAGGCTAATAAATTGAGTCTTATGATCATGAAGATATCCTTTTCTGATCACATAAAAGGTGCAATCAAGGATAATGGAAATGCAAAAGATTTCTTGAGTGCCATTGGATAGAAATTCCTAGAATCTAATAAAGTTGAGATAGGTAGCCTGATTAATTTCATGTCTACTATAAAGTATGTCCTTGTAGTTAGTGTCCATGATCATATTATAAAATTGGTTAACATTTCTACCAAACTGAATAATATAGGTGTAATCATTACCGATGATTTTCTTGTTCACCAATATCTAAGGTCCCTTCCTGAGCAGTTTAACCAGCTTAAGACAATCTATAATGCACAAAAAGATAAGTGGAGTGTTGATGAGCTTATTACTGTTTGTGTGGTAGAGTAAGGGAGGATCCAAAAGGAGAAAGTTGAGGGTGTAGTGAACCATGTTAGCTCGTCTAGATCAGCTGATTATCCCTCTTATAAAAGAAAAGGTGAACCCAAATTTCATAAAAAGAAACATGGTCAGTCTCATCTTCTAGGTGGTAATAGTGGTCATACTAATAAGCCTAGTGTTAACCTAGGTCAGTCTCATAATCCTCTTGGACCTCAAGTTGTAATTAAGAAAGAAATCAAGTATTGGAACTGCAAACAAGTAGGTCATAAGAGGATACCGAGGATATCAAAAATTATCAAATAGAACAAAACTTCACTCCAAGCTGTTAAACTTAATAGTGACGGG